AGCACGGGAGATCACTTCGCCCACTGCCTCATCGCCTTTGAAAATGTCCACCGCAGTTGTGGACGAAACGTCAGGAAGAAATTCCGATAGACCTAAATGTAATCTGACCGGCCGTGAAAGCCTTCATAGTCTGATATAACATAATGGTTTCGTATAAACGTGCTCTTTTATTGCAGGGATGTACACAATGCGAATGCTGGAAAGCAACAATACTGTGAGCAACATGAGCATGAATAATACCGCAGTAACAACTAGTGTATCGAGACATGATATGGAGCGTTTGGATACGTCCAGTGATAGCGCTGTCAGCTCTATGGGGTCCGAACGAGTTCCATCGCTTTCCGATGGAGAATGGTGTGACGCTGGATCCGATTCCGGTCACACCACCAATGGGGAGCCCTATTCCCAGGATTATCAAAACAAATACCGCCCGTTCGACTACAGTTACTCCAACCGTTTGTCAGAGAATGCGCGAATGAACCCAGTTCCCCAGAAGAAGCACCTCATGTATGGAAAAAGATTTCACACATCGGGTTTCTCAGAATACCGAGACCCTACCAACTCCTTCCAGCAAGAGAATTCGACTTCCAGGGCCAAAGTGCCCGAAATCAAATACTCTTGCTCTGCTGAGTTCACCCACCTGCCTCGAACTGTGGACCACATTCAGCACAATCATACCTACCATTTGCCAGCTGAGAATTCTGGTCCGATGCAACGGCCTGTTTCGCGAGATAAGGGAAAGTCTCGCAGGTCTGAAGAGGAGCATTTGAGCAGGGATGAAAAACGAGCTAGAGCATTGAATATTCCCATCACCGTGGATGATATCATTAATCTGCCTATGGACGAGTTTAACGAGCGCCTATCCAAGTATGACCTCAGCGAGGCTCAGCTTAGCCTCATCAGGGACATTCGGAGGCGAGGCAAAAATAAAGTGGCTGCCCAAAATTGCCGAAAGAGGAAACTCGACCAGATTCTGAGCTTAGCCGACGAAGTGAAAGAAATGAGGGACAGAAAAATGTCCATAATGAATGAACACAAATATTCTTTGGTGGAGTTGAAGCGAATGCAGGACAAATACCAACAACTGTATAGACACGTATTTCAGGTAATTTTACCATGTTTACTGTTTTTTATGTTAAAATATAAAATTTGCTCGTGTAGAATTGGCAGGCAAAACCCTTTTTCCTCCAAATATTTCCATCACGCGTTATTATCTTAACACTATTGAAATATGTGTCGTATGGTAATCGAAAAATCTAACGACCGAGTTAATATTATACATGTGTTTTGATTGACTACCAATCATATGATTATTTGAAAATTCAAGTGTGTCGCTTCAGCTCAATATACCTACATAAGTACGCGTCTTGTAAGTAATTGTTTCTTGACGACTACCTATAAACTACAGTGACACTCGGAAGTTCGCGAAATAAGCATKCCGTTTCGATACAAATATTGTTTTCTAATAATCCAAATTTACTGCTTCGCATAGTTATTTGTTTAGACTTACTTATTACAATTTCACGAATTGTGYTTWAATTCTTATCGTTTGGCATTATCAGGCCCGTATAAGTACCCAAGTAAATGGGACGTGATGATCATTGCAAAATTAAATTTAAGACGTGTTTATCAGATAAACATATGTTGTTTGTTCTGGGGGCAGGTTTACAATGCATATCAACCGCGAAATTAAGCAGTTATCTTTAGTTGGTTAGTAAGCAAAATTTTATGAGAAACAAGCATTTTTTGAATGAACCTATCTACAACTGCTAAAATGAAGAATGATTTTTCAGAATTTACGTGACGCAGATGGTAATCAGTACTCGCCGTATCAATACAGCCTTCAGACAGCAGCCGATGGATCAATTTTAATGGTACCACGATCAAGCAACGGGATGAACGGCACAACAGAACGCAAAGACCCTCCACAGAATCAAAAAGACTAAAACGTTAATTTACTCTTGCTTTAACGTTTTCAAAAATTCCTTAACCGTATTTTCTGTTCAACTTGAAATGATTTCGTTCTTTCTTTGTTACGAGGTTCTCTCAAGCTTGCACAAGCGAGCCAGATGCCGTCAGGTGTCGGCTTGAGAGAACCTTGCCATTGTTTAAGCATTTATTTTTCGTGTAATATTTTTTATGTTAAAAGATGCAGAATGATATATTTTTATAAAAACTTTCAGGTGATGAAAATGCCTTTTCATAAAAATTGTAAATATTAAATAAGATAAGTGAATGAAGCAATGTGGCTGACTGAAACAAATGGCATGGCTTCTGGGTGCAATAATGCATTCTAGATGCTTACTATTTTTACACAAAATTTCGTTATCAACAGGCGTATGTTTATAGTAACTACAATGAAAAGTTGTAATGTATTAATCTGACATTAGCCCTTAAACGCGCCTAAACCATTAAGGTGTCAGGTTAATAATTGTAAATTCTTTTTGGATTTCGGGCTATAATACTTGTAAATTATTTTTGATTTTCGTGCTAGAACTGCTTTGGTTCTATTGATTTTATAAATAAAACTTCTTAGTTTTTAGACTATGGTGAGGCTCGTTTAATCCAAGTTAGTTTTACTTTAGTTCAGCGTAGATGTGTATTAGTGGGATCGATTTATTTAATCATCATTAAGGATGATACTTATGTGATGTCTAATCCCATTTGGGTCAACCAGTTTATTTTGTTCTGGAGAAATTAGCAGTACTTTAAAGAGAATGTAGAAAAAGTAGTTTAATTTTTTATAAGAATCTAGTTTTTGTACATTGTATAGTAGTGGGAATCAAGTTAAACCACTCTGCTCCTTATTAATTTTAAACTACTCTTGACCATCTCAGAAGAGTAATCACTGAATTGTACAAGGTTTAACTAAGTAAAATTAAGTTGTGAATGTCTATAGAATAGTTATTGGGATTGTTAGCTTAATAGGCAATGGTTTTTTTAGGCAACTTGTATTATTGCTTAATATTTCGACATATAATGCTTTTAGTGTCATAACTTTATTGAATATCATAACGTAGTCGACATACATAATCTTCTGCTGATTCTAATTTGGCTAAAACTAGATAACCAGTACAAATATTTGGCACATTTTATCATCACTTTTTTCTATTTTTTATTTGTTTTCAACATTGTAGTTTGTGCCAATAGTACAACGATCTCTTAAATCTATTGTATAAAAACAGATCTGGTAAACATTTTCTCTGCCGTCAAAGTAATAGAATGAGAACACGTTGCACATCTTTATCGGTTTCCCTTGTACACGTAATGGAAAAAGTGCTTGCTTTGTCAGAAAAAATATCGTTTACCACACCTGCATATACCTGTTTTATGTAAACAGCGTTAAAAAAATTGTTTAGGTTCCAGCAAAATTGCTGAAGATTACTTCGGGTAGGTTTATTTTCAACTTATAATATTTTGTAAATAAAATCATAAATTAAAAAAGCTTAAACGTATTTGTTATTTTCCCCATTTTACAAAAAACGCACTTTTTACAAACAGCTCGTAAAGTAGTTAGTTGGAGTATTAAGAAATAAGAAATGAATGGAATGGAAATAGAGGGGAGACATTCCGGAAATGAAGCAATAAAAAAACTTTTAAATTGTCGCTGGCGTAACAAAGCACCACGAAACTGGAAAATTTGGTTTCGAAATTCCCAATAAGTCTTGTAAATTTAAGTTAAAAAAAATAGTAAAAACAGAAGGAAGGAAACCTGAGCAAACTTGCGGAATGTTCTAAGAAAGCACAGATCCCAATCAGATTAATTAAAAAAGTAATAATTTTTCAAATTTATTCAGTCGATTATTGGCTGATTAGTTCGCAGCTAGCGGGAAATTTCGCTATTTATGTGAAAGCAAATATCAATTAGAGCGCGATCACCAATCTCACTGCATTTTCCAGCATTCCAGCTATATAGCAAATTAGAGCAACATCTTGCTTTTCCCGGTCATTCTAAGCAGCCATCAGACAAATATCTACAAAAAAGTTCTTGTATATAAGTGGTAACATTCGATCTATTGAACCAGTGCGGCTATGCAGGGCATTGGATTATTTTCCCCATATTCCTCGATTTTCTAGCGTATGGAAACTGGATAAGATTAAATATAGCCATATTTTGAGAGATGCCTTGTCATATACACAACACATCCATACCTTCTGGCGCTAAATGTTAATAGTGTTTCAGTTCCGCTGAAAGTGATTACTCAAACCGGGTTTCGATAGTTTGTCTGGAAACTGTAAGTATTTTCCTGGATTAAGTAAATATTTTATTAACATCAATAAGACAGGGAAATAAAGCTGGTTCGGTAGGTAAAGTTTTCAAAATGAATGTTCGCTTTTTTATTTTGTTTCGGGTCCTACTTTGCGGGGATTCAATATAACAAATATGATTGAAGTAACAGAAAAACTCTTTTAATCCAGTGTTGACTATTTTGTTTTAGAACTAGTTTCAAAAAGCGTTTATTTGGTCTTCGGTGGGGACTGTTTTTTTAATTTTTTAAATAAACATAAACAGAGCTACAAAAAATATAATGAGAAAATCCAAATTATTAATGACTATCAGTTTTGGAAATAAATTGACCGACAAACGTCCAAACAACCAAATCAGATCAAAGACACGTGGAAAATTGAATTTATTCTAGTTTAACAGTGACGACAGTTCTTTCGATATATCTAGACAAACGTTTTGCGTTGATCGGCAATAGCTAGATTTTTCACGGAAAAAATGTACCGTTTTCGTTTTAAGGATTTGAAAGAACAGTCCTTAGTTAATTGGCAAAACGCAACAAAAAATAAGCAGAGCCCAAGCTAAAAGCACTATTTTTAGAACGTCTTGATTTATATGAGTTTTTATCTGCGTTTGTTATTTTGCTATAAACCATCCGAGCAAAAATAATTGAATGGTCGGCATAAACTAATACACGAACCCAATTTGATTGAAACTAACGATTTTTATACAGTAATTATTTAAACAGGAAACAAAAAAGTTACAAATAAATACAGTTGTAATTATACATATTATACTGGGTTGCGATCAAACCTTCAAATATATTGAGTGAAAACCACAGTATTTGCCTTTATGACATTTATATGTTTCTTCAAAAAAAACTTCTCGTGAGTCAATTGCGTCGAAAATTTCCAAATTTGCCCTATATATTCCATATATGTATTCTTCTCATTGATAAATTGCTAAGCTAATTGCGCAACAGTCTGTGTGTAACTTGAAATCAAGCGTGAAAAAACCTAATTACCTGTGTTATATTTACGGAAATATATGATTATGTTTTGTGCTGAGCAGCCAGTGTTCCGTGTGTCTTATGCTTCATAGGAAAATTATAAATGTTGCCTACCACTCAACTTACATAAAAAAAAAATCAAAGTAGCTATTGGAATTGCAGTTGAAATTCGCAGTAACAATTTGACGGCAAACATCAACTTGTTCGTTTGCAAACATTGGCCTAGCGCCAATCAATTTCCAGTTTATAAAACATTGTTTATTTCTCTTTTCGTAAATATAAACTCTTGTTGTCATAAATGAAACATATTACTTCGGGATCTAAATGGAAAACGTGCTACGGAAATACTGGAATTTAGTTCATTCGGTTCAAATCATGAAACCTCAAAGTACACGGGTGATGAAAACTAAGATCGTTTTTTCTATAATCTCAATTTTGAGCCAATAGATGACGATATTTTTATTGAGATAAACTGCAACTTACTTTGTTAATGATGAAAACTTTGGAAAAAACATAAAAACCTACAAATTACAAAAGTTTAGCGAAACGTTTCCAGTAGGTATCACCCTGTGCGTAATATTGAATCTTGTATATTCTCCTGAATTTTCATTTAGCATCAGCCAAAAACGCTTAAAATCGTTTACATTGAATGCATTTACTACTTGCACATTTTATAGCTTTTAATAAAATATTATCTATAAAGCATATTCCACTTGAGGCAATGAAAGCAATGTGTGTTGTAGGCAGATATTTGACATGCAATTAGCGGAATTGGCTGAAATATTAATAATATCTGAAGCGCTGAAGAAGAAAGACACTGCGAATGCATGGATAATAAAAATTATACATTAAATATTTATGAAGATGAAATCCCTGATGCCGATATATTTGGATTCCGAACGATAGATTAAATAGGTCTTTTGTATCCAGGTCCAGGAGTTGCATCTCCTGCTGGCTGACGCCTTTTACGTTTAATTAACAGGATCGAAATTTAATCTCGTGCTGTTGACTGTTTATTAATCAAACCATCATAATAAAGCACCGACAAGGAAAGTATTGGTAGCAAGTTTTGCAGAGTTTATTATTCTAGTATCAATAACAGTTTATTAAACTAACAAGACTGACGTGAATCGTTGTATACTTGACCTGCACAAAATACTCATTCAAGAAGTTTTCACATATTAGTGTCATCATAAGTGATATTAATTGAGGTAAATGTGGCATCAAGAGAGAACATTTTTGAAAAGTCTTACTATCTAGCTGATTTCTTGCTGTTGTTGATAAATAAAATAATTTCATTCAACAAATAATTGACGTCATCTAATGTAATCCATGTTCTCTTATCATACTAAACGCATTTAAATCTTTGACATTCGTTTCAAATCAATTAACTTAATGATTGAATCCCCAGAACCCAACATCCAATAAATTTATCTGAAAAGCATATCGTTTTACTGCTAAAATGCTTGTTTAGTGATATGGGGCGTATGTTCGTTAATACCTACACAGATAACATTGAAATATCGAACAGATTTTTTCGCATTGCACTAATCTCACGGTTGTTTCGTAAAAAATTAACAAAAAGTCGAAAAAAAATTTCGTAAAAAATTAACAGAGTGGATAATAATTGCGTTCCTCAACCAACACAATCTTAAGAATTTTGCCAAAATTTTATGTTTTCCGTCCGTATTTTTTGCTCATTTCTCGGAAGCAAAATAAGCAAGAACGCTCATTTTTACATCATACCAGAGCACTAAATGGCCTTTTTAGAAAGTGAACCATCGATAAGGAAATGTTGGCAGTTTTCTCAAAAAAGTCTTGATTTCACGAAGTTTTAGATTTGCGTGTTTTTCTTTGAGTTGGAAAATCGACTCAAACATGACGCTGCTTTTTTCGAAGTTGCTCAGGCCCCATTTGAGCCACAGACTTCGTTTTGGCATCGTTGGATAGCGAATTGAAGATTCGATTCAGTCATAACAACACGAGTGAGAAAATTTAAGTTTTTTTGACCCAGAATGAGAAATTTTAATATCAGACACGGCAAAGATTATGGCAAAATTTCATGTTTTCCGTCCCGTTTTTGCCCATTTATCGGAAGCAAAATAAGCAAGAACGCTCATTTTTACATCAATCATTTCAGAAAGAAATAAATGGTTTTTTAGAAAGCGAACCATCGATAGGGAAATGTTGGCAGTTTTCTCAAAAAAGTCTTGGTTTCACGAAGTTTTAGATTTGCGTGTTTTTTTTTTGAGTTCCAATATTGACTCAAAAATGACGCTGCTTTTTTCGAAGTTTTTCAGGCCCCATTTGAGCTACAGAAACTACTTGAAAATTCGATTCAGTCATAACAACCAATCTTTCCGTGTAAATTTGACTTGAAATAATTCTTGTTAATTTCAGGTGAAAAATGCTATACATTCGTTCCGTTCAGACTTGAGAGTTCAAAGCTTGCTATTCAAGAACTGAACTAGAACAAAGAAAAACCGGACCTAAGACAGAATGGCTTCTACTGATGCAACTGATAGTTTCAGCACGGAAATGACCGCTTATGATGCAGCTGATTCTCACTCAATTTTTGATTGGGCAGAATTAGCTCCCACGTTAATAGTATATGGATTTAGCTTCATTCTAGGAATGACCGGAAATTGCTTGATCATATTCACCACTTTTCGATATGGCAGAATGCACAGTGTGACCAATGTTTTCCTATCAAGTCTAGCCTCTTCAGATTTGCTATTGATTATATTCTGCATTCCGGTAAAGGTAAGACAAACTAAATACGCAAGCAACAAATTCAACATTGTTAGTTCGAAAATCCCCACTGTAGGAAAGGTGTTGATGATTTAATTTGGCACCGCATTTAAACTATAAAACATCAAAGTTGCTTAATAAAACTGAAAACCCAGAACATGACTGCACGATGATCGTATAAATCGATCTAATTTGTTTAACTCCTGTTTTACTGTTCGTAATTTATAATATCTATTAAATTCAAATTATTCAAACAAATAGAATGGCGTCATATATTTAATAAACATTTAATTTTATGGGCTCAGAAATGACAAGGAAACGCCTGCTCCAATTTTTCAATGTACATTTTCCAGTAATCCTTTCAATATGTTTATAAAGACAGGGTGTTTCTTATTATGCGCGAATTTTAGGGCGTGACTCGTAATGGAAAATTAATGGTAGTTTTTTCAGTTGCCAGTGGAGGCGCGTGGTTGATAGGTTTAATAATAGATAGTAAAATTCCAGAATTCTCATAATTTGCGAAATCAAAATATCCAGAATCGACCACTAATGCGCCAAGTGCAGGGAGCTACTCACTTTTTTTTCATTATTTTTAGTTTTCCCACCTCTCGCTTAGTTCAAATGAGATTCCATCCATTTCCACTATTATTGACTTTAAGATTCACTAACTTTTCACTTTTCCCAGCAGCTTTTCATAGAACTTTTATCTGTTTTCTAGAGACCGATAAATTATATCGCCGCAGTTTGACAAATAAATGTCAGGCTTTCAAATGACACTTCACACGTCGCACTCAATGACACAAAAAATTAATGAGAAAAAAAATTTAGGCAATTATCCGTGTCAGTAGTAAAACTAAGTCTATACAGGGTGTCCCACCGAGAACCGCCGCGATCGATATCTGGCGAATTATAATTAGGGAAAATTTGAAAATTAAACAGTGTGCCGAAGTCATTTTCAAGATGGCCACACTTCCGGTTAAACCGGAAGTTGGTATCAACTTGCTTATTTTAAATGGAACACCCTACAAAAATTTTTTAATTGTACTTTTTTAATAAAAAACAATAATAGCTAAAAAAGTTGATAAATAATATGTAGCAACTTAAAAAATTATGTTGATAAAAGTTTAAGTGCATACAAAAAAGTTCTGAACAAAACAAAAGTAGGAGTTCCACATTTCTACCCTGTATAAAAGTAAACTGAACTACAAAACACTACCATAGAATGGCACTCAATTCGTTTATAATGTGTACCGAAATTGAAGTTTCTATGTTTAACCGTTTTAAAGAAAAACAACAAAAACCAATATTATTCGCCATTTTGGAGATCAAATATCTAACAAATGAGACCACACATTAAAAAAAATTTCAGGAAGACCCCCCTCTAAAATGAGTAGGAGAATACGTTGTTAAAATATTTTAACATATTTACGGAACACCCTGTATATTATCACATTTTTAAATTCTACGGGTGCTTCCGCAAATTTAAAAAGCTTGTATTTTCTCTCATAATTTGGGAAATTATTGCAATCACAACTTTCCCACATATTTTCCTTAAGGTGAGAAAAAATTAAGAAAAACACGAACTTCACTTCCCACTACGAATTTACACTGTGAATATTTTGTTTCAATTTTGTAGGTAGCAAAGTTATTCTCATATACTTGGACAATGGGTGTATTTTTATGTAAAAGTGTTCACTATATGCAGAACTTGTCAACCATTTGCTCAGTGCTTACCCTGACTGCAATTAGTATCGAAAGGTAATAATAGTAGAACTGTATAAGGAGTTAATATGTTTTTAAGCTAAAAACAATTTAATAAATTTCAGATACTACGCGATTGTACATCCAGTGCGATCGAAATACATCTGCACCCTGAGCCAAGCCAAATCTATTATTTTAGCCATATGGATTGTTTCTATATTGCTTGCTGTCCCCACTTTAGTCTTATGGGTAAGTTGCATTCTTCAAATAAAACTTACGGGTTTTTCGAGTTTTTATACCGTCGAATAGATTTTTTTTCTTTTGCTGTTGCGCCGCGCAAACCACCGCTCAAGGTACACACCAATCGTGCTTGCATAACGTTTGGAAAAAAATCTTATATACGACGGTATGAAAACTCGAAAAACTCACCAGTTTCAATTTTGTAATTAACCGACAAATTAATGGCGCAAATGGTGGAGTTCTGTAATACGAGCGTCGCCTGTTAAGTATCACACATATCAGAGTAGAAAATTCTTGACGCGTTGGTGAGTTCAAGTTTCATGTAATTTTTTTTTGTAAAAAACAGAATGCTTATCAAAACCGATGCCACCATTTGAGCCTAATTACATGTTGATAAAGAATAGGTTTTTTATACCAAAAGTGCAATCATTATCAATTCGTAGCAAATAATTCGGTCTTTCCAAAGCTCCTTTTGAGGCGAATTTTCCAAATAGAAAATTGTGGAAGCATTACGCGCCTCATAATCAATTATGTAAATGTTTAATTTAAAAACGCAATGTACTAAATTGGTTAATTACTTTTGCAGCATCTAATGGAGGTGGGTCTTCACAATGAATATAGTTGGTGCGTTCGAGATTCTTCAAAGCCATCCTTATGGAAATTCCATGAACTGTACATGCTACTTGTAATCCTTATAATACCATTTAGTATAATGACATATTCATACACTTTTATCTGCTGGGAAGTTTGGAAAGTTATGGAACACAGACGCGTTATGTGCAATGATCGCTCGTAAGTGCTGTTAAGCACCGCTATACGATCACGAATATTTACAAAGCTACTTATTCAGTTTAGGACAAAAACCCTCCAACAGTTCTACGTACGTGGAAGAACTGAGACCAATGGAAAACAAGAAAATTAGATCAGAAGTAAAAAATTACAGAGACGATACAACTATGGTAAAGCAAGTAATTTACATGCTGGTAACAGTTGTAGTTTTATTCGCTCTGTGTTGGACACCAGTACTAGTGGATAACATCCTAACGGCTTACAATGTACTCGGTCAGCAACGAACAGGTTTTGCCAAATATATGTCAAGTACCTTCAATCTCTTGTCGTACTTTAATAGGTAAGCATATCTAATGGAACAGCTTCAACTGATGCGACTAATCCCACCAATGTTTTACAGTTGCATTAATCCAATTATCTATGGCTTCATGTCCAAAACTTTTCGGGAAAGTTTCAAAGTGGCGCTCTGCTGCTCACCAGAAAAGGCGTTTATACACCGGACTGGCAGCAATTATAGCATGAGGTATATTTCAAGAAATGGATCTCAAACCAGAACTACAGCCGACGCAAAACGACAGGAATCGTCGCTATTTGTTACTTAACATTGATAAGCTAGAGATCCATAAATGATCGCTATCACTATTTGGATGTGAAGCTTGCACAAAAATGTAGTAGATACCATAGTAGCTAGTAGTTGTCTAAGTACAAAATAAACCAATTGCAAGATATTTCATCTTACAATTAACTACCTATGTGAGTTTTATTCAAATTTTCGAGAATTCCGCCCATTATTGGCATTTCACACAAAATTGAAAGCGCAGTAGGTACTTAAATACCTAACCAATACCTGTTGATGATGACCTAAAATTAAACTGTAATTTTGCGTCTCTCAGCGTTTTAAAATCAATGGCTGAGATAGGCAAGATATGTATAATTTGCCACAATAGTAGATCCGTTTTCGTCTACTCAATGCAGAGTGATTTTCACCGTAATTTCGTACAGGATGTCCAAAACTTACGGTTGAAAATTGAATAACTTTTGACTGAAGTTTTTCGCTTACTTACAAGGGACACCCTGTAAGTTTTGGCGACAACAAACGTAAAATTTCATACTTTTCCAAAAACTTCCCAACATCATCCCTCTGAACTCAACAGTTTTGCAGATAATGGCAGATTGTTACGGAAATGATCCAATTTTAAAAAAAAATCCAGCAGGCCAGGAATATGGCCCTCGTAAACGTCAAACTTGGAGCGATTTTGACATTTAGACACAGTTTTCTGTCAATTACTGCGCAGAAAGTTGTCAAAATGAAAGATTTTAGTACACAGTACAGAGGAAACTATTAGAAGACTTTCTATAAATATTCTAGTGGTTTACAACACGCGTCTTATCGTTATAAGATGAAAGAAAAAGTAATCAGTAAAAATCCTCATCCCGTTCAAAATTGTAACAAATCGCCATTACCAAAATCGAATAAATTTAGACGACAAAGTTGAAAAAATTTCGAAAAAGTTTAAATTTTCGGTCTGACCACGTACAACCTATAGAGTGGCCCATTTAAAATTACCGAGAAATTTCAGTCAAACGTTACTCAATTTCAAAAGGTATGATTTTGGACATTCTGTATAAAAAAACGAAAAACTTTCGGCCTCAT